GGGTAAAAAAACAAGAAACAATTTGCTCCAGTCTGGGTTGTTAATTTTTAATCATTTAACCGATGGCATAGTCAGTTATTTTTATTCATTTACTTGCTACTGATGTTTGAGAGCTAGTGGTCATTCGTTTAAATTTTTTCCCTTTGCAAATATATTCTTTCACTACTGCACTATGCACTCCATAATTCCTTTGCAAAGTTTATAACTTTGAAGCTTTTATAATGACACATTTATTAGTGTTCGATATTGTCCTATCTATAATTATTCAGAGTATAATGTTTACAAGGTTTGACTTGTTATTTGTTTAAAACTTCAGACAAGAAAGTGCTAATAAATTTAGGTGAGGTTCTGAAGTATTATGTTATTAATGGAACCAAGTGGTTGAATGTCAAATCCTTATCGATATGATAAATAAGTCTTCTATCATTCTTGTTAGTAGAGTTAAACAAGTTAAAGATTTGCTTTTAGGGACATTAATAGGGATCAATTTACTGTTATTATCTGAGGTCGTATAGCCTCATTCTTTGGGTTTTCACTCGAGTCTTTTAAAGGAACTAAACTAACACCTATGGAATTTTATTGGACTACATATATCTTATATCAGTTACGCGGACTGGAGTTCATGCTTTATTTGGGGAGAAGGATTTAACATTGTCTGGCTGCACTATTAGCAGTGCCTGTCTTCTCACAGTTTTAGCTAATGGAATATATTCTTTAATTGAGTAAGCTCATCTCGTAATATGTTCACGGCCTGGTTTGCTTTTTAACCTATAAAATAGGACATTATTGAGCACGTTCATCTTGAAGATATTGATATCATTGTTAGGTACATGATTCTGATCACGGTGAGCTATTTTTTGCTTAATAGGCAAACTTTGCTAATGGCACATCATATTATCAATGTATTGTGAACTATCATTTCTCAACGTTCATGCTAAAATTATTTACTCATTCTCGTACCTGTCCATTCTTGCAGAAGATATTGTACTGCTCAAGCCTAAGCTGGAGCTCTGATGGTAGCACGCTCTTCACTGGCTACTCTGATGGATCGATCCGAGTTTGGGAAATCAGCCGTTATTAGAGATTTTGGTGGTCTAGCTTTATAATTGAGACTATTTTGGTTACTTTGTCAATTTTTGCAAGTGAACTTGTTAGCTGTTTATGCTTGTTTTTGAACTAGTTTGGTTTTGTTTACTGGATCTCTCTGCTTCTTAAAACCTTCTAGAGGAATTTATTTAAATGACTAGCTTTCCTCTTAGCTCGTTTTTTCAACTAAACGAGTGTTGTTTGTTTTGGTAAAATCTGGTATTGGAGCTTCCCTAAACCATGGCAGGAGAATGCAAAAGCTTGGCTTCGTATTGTGCTGAAATTTTATTGATGTTTAATGTGTTCCTTTTCTGTGCAATTTGCGGATTAAATGTGAAACGTATTTGTTGTTCTCTGATTTTGATTGGTAAATTTGCATTGATTTTGGTTGAATGGATTGAATTGACGTGGAGGCTTGTTTTTTCCCTGACTTGGAATTGCTATATGATTTTCTATTATGACTTTTAATATTATTCAATTGACAAGCTTTTTCCATTATAACCGTCTACTATTTGTTGATTATCTTGGTTCATTCCAAATATATATGTAGTATTTAATATTCTATGTGATTTGCGTTTGTTCTCATTTTTTAACTCGATATGAATCACGATTGTCAAGTAGATACTTAACAAATTTGTGACTAAAATTACGGGTTGTCACTGGGCTTTAATTTGCCACATCAGAAAGCATAGCTTTATTTTTCCAAGATAAACAGTCGGAGAGGCATCTTTCATTGAGACGCTGAACGGAGAACTCAGCTAAAGAGGAGCCCTATCATCCTCCAATTGTAAAAGAAACCGTGTTCGTGATAATCGTGGTCAAATCCGAACTCTGGAAGCTGGAATATTTTTCTGGATATCACAGAGATTACAGCATAGAAGTGCGGCATTATAATTGCAGAATTGCGACAAATCCACTTATCATTAAATATATAAACGTAACACCTCTTTTTAGTGCATTAGAAATAACGGATTGCAAATCTAATACTATTATAAAAGTGGACTGGTATGTTAAAAATTTTCTTTCCAAAGTACACTCCAAAATATATGCATACATAAATAGAACACATACATGCATCCTCCAAAACACATGCATACATACACATGAACGTACATTATTAAATGAGAACACTTATTATTTTTTATAATTATTTTATTAATAATTTTCTTAATTAAAAGCCTTTAGATGTTTTATTCATGACTTTCATGCATACTTAAACGTGTCATGCTTCATGAGCGATGATATGTACGTTTGGCAGGCTCGACAGTGGTGGCGGAGTATTCAGTGGAGGTAGAGGGTGGCTTGGGGTAGTGCCAATGGAAATGTAGGTGACGATCAAGCCCTAAGTGGGTTGCCTGGAGGCAGCAGAGCGGGGATCGGTGATATGGCCAAGCTTGGCGGTGGGGGAGGAGCTGGCAGCAGCATAAGACTTCTAAATATTATGAGAGTGAGTTAGTATACAATATGCAATTCATCTTTCTCCTTCTTTCCCCATGGAGCTGATCAAAATGACCATTTTCTGGCTATGCTCTTTTCCATTGAGATTTTTGAGCTCCTCCTTATTTCTCCCCTCACCGCCAAATTGGTAGTTTTCCATTTCTCCAAAATCAATTTATGAAAAAAATAGTTTTATAATACAAATTAATTATTGATATTTTCAATGTTTTGGTTGAATTTCATTTCCGGTCACAAGCATGGACAACATGTGGTTGTGCTAGTTGAGGACGCTCTAAAGCATAAATACAAAGATAAAAGAAAAGTTGACGTGGTGCTCTTTCTTGAACCGCAATATCATAGACGCTCATATTTGCTCGTCTCTACACTTTCTTTTATAAATAGTAATCTCGGTTTTGTCTTATTCATCTTTTTCATACCTATTTTCTATTGTGTTTCTTATTTGTTTGATCTTGATAAATGTTATAACCATCTCTCAAAAAATGTAAAAATAAAATCATTTCCGGTCACAAGCATGGACAACATGTGGTTGTGCTAGTTGAGGACGCTCTAAAGCATAAATACAAAGATAAAAGAAAAGTTGACGTGGTGCTCTTTCTTGAACCGCAATATCATAGACGCTCATATTTGCTCGTCTCTACACTTTCTTTTATAAATAGTAATCTCGGTTTTGTCTTATTCATCTTTTTCATACCTATTTTCTATTGTGTTTCTTATTTGTTTGATCTTGATAAATGTTATAACCATCTCTCAAAAAATGTAAAAATAAAATTTTCACACCTTGAATTTATTCATACTTGCCTTGATATTCACCAAGTATTAACCATTATGTCTCAAGAAGTACATGGACAATTGTTATCTTGATGAACTTGCTTGACATTCACCAACAAGCAGGGGGCGGTACATGATTATTTTTGGCATCATTAATTTGTTAGTCTAAGTGTGTAGACCCAAAGCTGCAATCGAAAAGACGAAGAAAACAGTCAGAAGACTGTGCGGTCGACCGCAGTGGCAGAGCCGGTCGACCGCGTGCACTGCAGGAGACTGAGAAGAAGTTTTCGCTCTGGTCGGTCGACCGGCGTGGCCGCTGCGGTCGACCGCAAATGTGCACAGGACCCTGTAAACAGATTTTTCTCTGGCCGGTCGACCGGCCTTGGCACGGCGGTCGACCGCGAATCGCCC